GAACTCCAAGAGAGAGAGAGGGAGATGTCGGATCTCCAGGTCGCTCATGACCAGCTCACTGTGCTGCGGGATCTGGCCGAGAGTGATCTCAATGAGGCCAATCTCTTCCTTACCCATCTCGCCAGCCGAATCCGAGAGAGCCAGGCGACACGGATGCCGAAGCGCGAACGAAGTCCGCCTACTTCTCCGCCCCAATTGCCACCTTCCAAGACGCCCCGCAGTGATCGCCCGATTTCTCCGCCGCCTGACCAAGATCAGCCCGAGATCGAGGGCCAGGAGGGCCAGGAGAGCCCCGATCGGTCTGAGATCGAAGATCAAGGTGACCAAGAGCCTCCGGATCAGCACGAGTTCGGGGGTCCGGATGATCAAGATCTCGAGGATAAGCGTGAGATCCCGAGAAGAGGGGGAGGTAGCCCTGGTGATCATGACTCCCCTCCTCCAGATCAAGGTCCTACCACGCCTCCTCCCTCACCTCCACCGGGTGGCCATCCGACGACTCCGCCTGCTTCACCACCTCAGTCTCCAGGTGGCAGTCCGGGTGGTAGTTCTCCGAGTAGTAGTTCTTCGGGTGGTGGTTCTCCGATCCAGCTGACCCCACCGTTGTTTCCGGCCGAGGCCAGCGTTCCTCACTATTCCAACATCAGGGTCTTCACCGCGGCCGAGATCTACCCGTGGGATCCGGCCGTCGTGGGGACAGTGCCGATCATAGCTATGATCCAGGCTACCTTGACGAAACACATGCCGATCCCAGCGAATTTCCTATTTCCCCACCGGCTCCCACCTGTTCGGGCCCCCCAACCTGTAGTCGGGTACTGCTCGGGGTTGATCACCGGCGCCAACGTCTTGGCTCTCATGACCACCGAGCCGTGGCGGGCACTTGGTCAGCGTCGCCCCACTCCCCTGACTTTTGATCACCACCTCCATCGGTGGGCGCAGACCCCTCTATGGAGGATCGCCGTCGCTTATGCGGCCCTGGAAGAAGATCACCTGATCGCGTACTGGGAATCGACCCATTATCTCGAGATCACGTCTGCGATGGTCAACGCGGACACAGATCTCTTCACCTATCACGCTGACCGGCGACTCCGACGGATGCGAGTCGGGGAGAGTTGGAGGAAGCTGTTGGGGGATATGGTGCTCATGATGAGGGCCCAGTGGGCCGACATCGACCTCTTGCTCGATCCCTATTTCCTTCATCTGCCGACGAAGCAGGATCGAGTACGTTGGTACCCCGGATCGGTGTCCCGGGCGGCCAATCTCGCGCAGCCGAACGCCAATATCGCCGAGCCGACTGACTTGATCACGGCTCTGTTCGAATGTGATCAAGCCGACCCCTGGAGGAATCACTTCCGTGATCCCGGCTCCGTTCATCCGTCGCGAAGTATCCCTCGCCTCGTGAACAAGTTCGGTCCCCGGGCGGCTCCTCCGGCGGCGCCTCCGGCCGCAGCTCCGGCTGCCCCCCGGCGACCCCGTGATCACCGATCTGGCTTCCAATCCTCGCCTGCTTCTGAGATCCCTAGTTTTCTCCCCAACATCCCGTTTCGTCCTGGTCGATCTCGTAATTTCCTAATACAGCCACATCTTCTGCTCGTTTGTTCATTTTGTCACCATTCGCAAGCGATCTCTCTTCTTGATCGTCCTGTTTTCCGTGATCTCTTCCGACGGCTTCAGATACATATATATAACATGAATTCCCGATCTCGGTTCTTCTGACCGACATTCCCTCGGGACCGAGGCGATCGGGTGGCCTCCCCCGCACTCCTTACGTCTCTTCATGTGATTGCATCACATTGAAGCGATTCCGATTCGCCTGTTCTCGCAGGAAGGTATTCAACATGGACCCGCAGTTAAGATCGGCTTCGTCGACCCAGCTTGGCTCATCATACCCCGTCCAGTGGACCAGGAACTCCCGATAGATCCGCCCAAATCGTGTCTTCTTTCCACTCCGCACATCTGAATTTCGCTCGACTTCATACTCATACGCACCTAGATCTGGGACCCAGCTGTCCTCAGGAAGCAAGATCTCATCAAAATCGAGACGATCTGCCTCGTTAACCGTGAGCTCCACGCGTGGTCGGTCCGGAAAATCTCTGACCAATTTCAACTTCGACACATGCACCACTGGGAAGATCTGGTACCCGGTGCCTGCGATCTCGAGCTTGACGCTGAATTCGTTGATCTTTTCGGCGACCCGGAACGGCCCGTGCCACAAGTGAGCCAATTTCCGCGCGTATCCTTCCTTCACTCGATCCAAGTACAGCCAGACCCGGGATCCACTCTCGATCTGATGTGATCCTGCATCCTCGTTGTGTCGCTCAGCCCGATCTGCGATGGCCTCCCTCAATCTAGCGTTGACTTTTTCTCGGGATTGTTGATAATGTCGTTGGACTCGATAGCGCCACCGCCGCGCGTCTCGATCTTGTCGCCTCGTACATCCGACTGGCAGCGTAGCTTCCAGTGTCGATCTCGGATCCCATCCGTGCACCAAATAGTGGGGAGTATCTCCTCGGATCCGATCGTGAGCCGTGTTGATCGCGAAGGTGAG